TGTTCAAAGGGTCCTGCGAGGGTGGCAGGACGGAGAGCAGAGCCTGAACGGCCCTTGAGTCTTCCTGCACGAGAAGACACAGTCCTTCCATACCTGTGCCCCCCAACAGTCTACCTGACCCAGTGCCTTGCAGACATTTTGGATTACAACTTCCATCATGCCCAATCTACCACGGGTCCCCAGGCATTGCACTTGCAAATGTCAAAGTAGGCCTCCTTCAGTCTCAAGAGATGATGGGAACGTGCTCTCTATGGAAGTCTTGGAATAGCATTTAGTGTGGCTGAGAAGGCCAATTCGAGAGTGACCATCTCTTCCACAGTGAAGACAAATCCAGTCTGTACCCCTGTCCAGCTCCCTGGTTTTGCTGGTTTCGGGACTGCCTCTTTGCCTCAGCCTGCTGGACGAGGGTCTCTTCCAATTGGGAGGGGCCAGGATGCACCCCCTGCCTCCAGGCTGAATGCCTGCACTTGCAGATGTAAAACTGCACTAACTGGAGCCAAGCAGGAGCCTCAGCTCTCACCCCATGATGGTCCTTTGATGGCCACCAGTTAAGACGCACTGCCAGTAGCAGCACCCACGAACATGCTTTCGAACTGCTAGCTCTCAAAGGGCTAGCAGTTGCCCAGATGTGGCACGGGATGAAACCAGATGTCCCCCGTTTGACTTCTGCTTCTGTGCTGTTTATATATTTGGGAAGGAAGCACATTTTATGCTAGCTTTCTTGCAAAAATCACCAGCTAATTGGTGATCCAGACAAGGCAGGAATGTGGAGCTGGGGTGTGGGGAAAGACACGGCTGGAAGAGCAGAGTCACCATCACCCCTTTTCAAAAAGCCAGCATCATCGGACTTGGCCTCTCTCCCAGCAGCCATTCCACCAGGCTAAAAAAAGGGGGGAGAGGAAAATGGCAGTCCTTTTTAGAAGCCACCTCGCTTAACTTCTAAGAATAGGGGAGTCTCAGTTTACTGTTTTCCTTTTCCCTCCTCATTCCTTTTTCCTTTCATGTCGTGTCTTTTTCTTTCTTTTCTTTTTTTTTAGACTGCGAGTCTGACATCAGGGGTAGTGTTGTTTTTAATTGATATGTAAGCCATTCCAACGTGGTGGCACTGTGGGTTAAACTGCAGAAGCCTCTGTGCTGCAAGGTCAGAAGACCAGCCGTCGTAGGATTGAATCCACATGACGTAGTGAGCTCCCGCCACTTGTCCCATCTCCTGCCAATCTAGCAGTTCGAAAGCATGTACAAATGGGAGTAGATAAATAGGTACCACCGCAGTGGGAAGGTCATGGCGTTCCGTGTCTAGTCATGCTGGCCCTGTGACCACGGAAACTGTCTTTGGACAAACGCTGGCTCTGCGGCTTGGAAACGGGCATGAGCACGGCGCCCTAGAGTCGGACACGACCGGTCTAAATATCAAGGGGAATCTTTACCTAAGCCATTCCAAGAGCCTCTTCATCCAGAAAGGCAGGGCATTGACCGTCGGAGCACCACGATGACTGATATACCTGTTCGTGTTACACTAGGATCTTGGCCAGCCTGGGTTCGAAACCTGACTCGGCCGTGAAATTCACTGCGTGACCTCAGGCCAGTCACCTTCTCTTAGTTTGAGCTACCTCACCGGACTGATGTGAGATGGCCTTGGGTTAGCTAGCAGAAAAACGGGAAAGAAAAATAACAAGCAAACAAATCCTATGACAGCCCGCACAGACCTGGCGCAGGTCCTGCACGCTCATGAAATGTTGTATACCTTATATTATATGCCCAAAGCAAATTCTCTGTCTGTAGAGGCATCTCTCCCCACCATCATCTGCCTGGCCCAGCAGATCCTCCCAGGCTATGCGGAAGCTGGAGCCCGGCCTCCTTTGCGGTGGCACCCTTTCTGTGGCACCAGCTGCCGGTGGATCGAGGCCCAACTCCCTCCCTGCTAACCTTCAGAAGGCAGCTCAAAGCCCTGCTCTTCAGGGAGGCCTTCCATAAGGAACCCTCCTGCCTGATGTACCCCCTCTGCTTTCTCTCTCATAGAGAAAGTGCCTTTGTACTATTGTTTGCTGATGGTGTCATGCTTATTTCTTAAAATCATTTTACACGTTTTTGTGTTCTGTTATTCTGCTTGTTGCCAACCACCCGGAATAACGCATCGCACTAACAGGGCGGTAGATCAAGCTAAGGAAATAAATAAAATAAATAAATCTCCCGTTGATCGCCAGCTCTTCGTCTCTTTCTCACTCAGTCTTGTCCCCCAACAACAGTTTAAAAGAAAATCAGGCTATCCGCCATCAGAAAGTGACCTCCGACCCCCATTCCCACGACGCGCAGACACGCAACNGTGCCGCCTGAGGCGCGACACGAGACCGGCTTGTTATCCGCGAGAAGGAGGAGGAGGCGGAGGCGAAGCCGGAGAGAATGACGTCGGATGCCGTCCAATAAGGATCGAGGGTTGAGAGCTCCCGGCCAATGAGCGAGCGGCTCGGCCCAGCCCGGATTTTCCTCGCTCTCGCGGTTGCAGCTTTTCGGCCAAGCTGAGGCGGCGGCGGCGGCTGAGGCGGCGGCGGG